AGGAGGCGGCAGCGCTCCGGCGGCATCCGTGCCATGGCCAGCTCGGCGAAGAGCTTGCTGTTGAAGCTGCGGTCGGCCTCCCCCACCACGAAGAGGACCTTCCCCCGGACCTTCTCGGCCGGGATGGCCGAGGCGCTGTACGCGGGGTCCCGGGGGTCAGCGAAGATGGCCGAGTTGTCCAAGGCCCCCACCTCCGTGAAGATCACGCGCTCGGTGTAGTAGGGGATGGGTGGGATGCGGAGGTCCTTGTAGACCAGCGGGTTGCCGTGGAGGAAGGCCGTGCCGTTGATCCACACCGTGGCCGCCACCTGCGGGAGGAAGGCGGCCATGGCCAGGGCCACCTCTGCTCCTTTGGAGACGCCAACGACACCCAAGCCGGGGCCTCGCACCTGCAGTGGAGGAGGGGGGGGAAACGGAGCCAGCTGGCAGCACCGCTCGCCGGCACGTCGCCGGGATGTCCCCACTCACCGGGACGTCCTCAGTCCCCAGGACATCCCACAGGGACGCTGGGACGTCCCCCGGTCATCGGGACATCCGGCTCATTGGGACGTCCCCAGCCGCCAGGACATCCCCGGTCACCAGGACACCCCACTCACTGGGATGCCCTCAGTCACCAGGACATCCTTGGTCACCAGGACACCCTGCTCACCGGGATGCCCTCAGTCACCAGGACATCCCACAGGGACGCTGGGACGTCCCCCGGTCATCGGGACATCCGGCTCATTGGGACGTCCCCAGCCACCAGGACATCCCTGCTTGCCAGGAGACTCCCAGATCACCAGGACATCCCCGGTCACCAGGACATCCCCGGTCACCAGGACATCCTTGGTCACCAGGACACCCCGCTCACCGGGATGCCCTCAGTCACCAGGACGTCTTGCTTATCGGGATGTCCCTGGTCAACAGGACATCTCGCTCACCAGGATGTCCCCAGTCCCCAGGACATCCCGGCTTGCAGGGGCCACCCGCCGCGCTGCAAGGGCTCACCTTGGGGTGCCGGAGGAGCAGCTCGGCCGCCTCCTCGAAATACTCCAGGTCGAGCTGGGCCAGGGTGCGGGGCAGGTCATCGTAGGCGAAGAAGGCCAGCGCCAGCACCGCGAAGCCCCGGCTGGCCAACAGCCCCGCACGAAACTCGATGAGGCCACCCGCGCCCCCAAACAGGTCGATCACCCCCGGGAAGGGTCCCGGTCCTGGGGACAAGCAGAGAGACCCTCACTGCCGGCTCACTGCCGGGGGCAGAGGGTGCCATCCCACACCCCGAGGGTCCCGCCTG